TCTCTCTCTCTCTTTCTTTCTTCTCTCTCTTCCTCTCTCTCTTTTTTTACCTACCGTATGTATGAATTTGTGTGAGTAAAACTTTTCATCATGCCTATATATATATATATATAGGTGTAGGCTAGAGTAGATAAACCAAAATTTGATTTGATAGGGCCAAATCTTGCAACCAATGTCTACTCACAATGTACTTTATTATTATCTTATTTAACTACAAGATATCCACTAAATCTGTCCAACCGTATATGGGTGTATGGTGAATTTTGTTGTAACTAAAATAGTAGAATAGTGAAAACATGTGTCATCCTAGGAATCTCTAAATCAAAACTAATAAATAATGATAAAAATCTCATTTCACACGTTTTCTTTTTGGAGAGAGAAAAATGAATTGATTTATAATCTATATAAAATTATATTTATACTATTTTCTTTCAATTGGGTCTAACTTAATGTTTCCTTATCCAAAATAATTTTTTCTCGAGTCAGAGACTTCTAATTAATTACGAGCTATCCAACGAGTACAATATTGATATATTTATAATTGCTCTATCAAAATCTAATTTATTTGACCCAAAAAAATAGGAATTTATATAATATACAAAATAAATAAATTTTTATCTATAAAATTTTTGGGTTACTACAATCTCTTTTCGCCTAAGACTACGGGTTAAACCATTGAGTTCGGATAACAATCAGAACATGCAGTGCAAAGCTTTTCACGGCTTAGATAAGATTATACATGTAGATTACATGCTTAGAAAGCTTGAATCTTGTTTTCCTTCACTTGAATTTGATGTATTTTGTTTTGCTTTACTCACTTTGCTTAAAGAATGATGATCATGGCACAAAATTTTCATGAGAACTACAATATTAAATATAATTTCACTATAAAGATTGTTGCAACAAGCAATCAAGTGGTCACGCTGATGCAACAAGGAGAAAACTAAAAGTCTACTCAAAGCGAAAGACTAGGATTTGAGATTATGTTAACTTTATCTTTTAGGATTTTGATATTTACATTATAGAGTTTATCTAGATAATAGCAATTATCCCCTGTTTGGATTTGCTTAGCAAGATTATGTAATTATCTTTTGTGCCAAGTTTATCTAGTTTCAAAGTAGTCTATATATAAAGGGACTGAGAGGAATGTATACTAACACACTTGAATCACATGAAATAAAATAATTCTTCTTGCCCTCAATTCTTCCCTTTGATCCCCCTTATTCTCTTCATCTTTTTGTTCTTTATCAAGTTTGTGCAGTCCTGCGTCACACACATATGGTGTAACAAAGCTAAAGCCAATGTGAAACAATATGGAGATTAACCGTGCTTAAGTATAGACAGAAGTTTAACACAACTGATCTATTGAAGTTTTTGAATCCTCTATACATTGGACGGAACTAAAGATTTAAGATTAGAACATCAATTCAACACACCTAATGTTAACTTTCTTGTTTGACTTTGGCTTTTCCTTTAATGCAGGACTTCAGAGTGCTCTTTCCAAGTTGGGCCGATACTTGTGGTTAACGAGCCTTTCACGGTAAATTTCTGTTGCAGTAGCATGAAAGCCAACATTTTTCTGAATTTATTTTATGAATAATGTCTTTTTAACAACTGCGGGATCAATTGCAGATTGATAGTGGCTTAATGACTCCAACCATGAAAATCAGAAGAGACAAGGTTTTATCTAAATTCAAAGAGGAAATAGACAATTTATACAAGTGAATTGCCTAATATGGTCTCACCGAACTAGTAAATGTGCAAACATGGCTAGCAATTTCTTACAGTGTCTGTGCAATGTTATAATACTCCTTTTCTTGCTAAATTCCTTCATTGTAATATTCCTTTTGTAATAATATATCGTTGGGCTGGTTATACACCATATTTTTCTAATGTTGTCATATCAATCTACTTCTTGGAAGAGAATGCTTGTGGGAAGCTATCGTGCCATAGGCAATCAGTAGTAGCAACTAGATTGTTGAAATGGACTGTGGTGACATAGGGACGAAGATAGGATAGGGATGGTGTTTGTCTTGCTTTTGGCATAGTGGAGCCCTAGTGGGAGGCTCGCACGATGGACAACTGTGTAGTACTTGTGCCTCAGCTTTGTGTCCTTAAAATACTATCAACAGAGAATGCACCATTGGAAAAGAAGTTACATGAAGCATAATACATCCACAAAAGCTATAGCTCTGCATAATTCTCACCTCCTTGATTAACGAAAACTGGCTCTCTAATCCTGATACCAACCCACCTGATGTTGGGAGATATGATCACTTTTACCAAAAATTATAGCCGACAAGACAGTCTAAACCATAACTTTTGACACTCAAGACAGAGTTTAGGAATTCACCCCAAGCATTATTTTTTAGACATATCAATCTCATTTACTGATTCCTACAGTGGTGGTGTAGTATTTTGCCATTTGGCCCTCATTCTGTGTTATTTGTGTAAATTTCTCTAGGCAATTTCCTCGCTTTACATCTATTCCACTTTTGGCACACCCGACTAGGTCGTATAAAGAATTTAGTACAAAAGTTAGTAGATTTTAATATGTAGATGGTATTATGATGGATTAATGTGTATAGTATTGTTCTGTGATGAAACGGTTTCTGTTTGTTTGAAGTCAAAGAAGTGACATGTAGTCATGTTGGCTTAGCGAACAGAAGTCGCCAACTTTTGAAATGTTGGCTTAGCGAACAGAAGTTACCAACTTTTGAAATCTGTGGCGAGGATTATGGATTATACCCGTGTCTTCAGCATTATATCATGTGCTTATTGGATCTTTATGGTAGATCAGAACACCTTGATGAAGCTGAGAACCTCTTTATTGCCGGACAAGCCTGATGAAGCTGCATGGGCTGCTTTGTTGAGTACTTGTAGACGAGTTGGGAAAAGTGAAATGGGAGTTAGAATCGCGAGTCATCCACTGGAACTCGGACCAGAAGTTCCATCAGCGTTATGTATTGCTATCTAATACATATGCTGGTGATGCTAAATTGGAAAATTATTGAGTTAGGAACGTTATGGTTACGATGGAACAGGAAAAGTATAATCGCAAAGAGATAATATGTAGAAGAAAATCAAGTATTTCTTGGATCTATTTTAATGTTTTGATTGGTGTGTGTCAACTTGTTTCAGTGTTTGCCACTTTTTAGAATTTTTATTACTTTTTTGAATAGTGTTTGTCACTCTTTTTTATTATTTTCTGTGACTTTTTCAAAATTTATATTGTTTGTTACTTTTTAAAAAAAAAAAAAAAAATTCTGCCACTTTTTTGAGTGACAAACATATGTTTTGATTGGTCACTTTTTTTTAGTATCATTTTTTCTTTTTCTTTTTTTGAGTGTTTATTACATTTTTCCATTCTTTCACTTCTTTAATTGTTTGTTACATTTTTTAAATTTCTGTGACTTCTGTGATTGGTATTTTGTCACTTTTTTACATTTGTTTTTCATTTTTTTGAATTTTTATCACTTTTTTGAATAACAAACATCAATTTTTAATAAAAGTGACATTTTATGTCATTTTTATTAAACAAGTGACATTTAACTTTAAAAAGTGACATTGTATTTCACTTTAATAAAAAAAATGACACTTAATTTTACAAAGTATTTTTTACTTTCAATATACTTTTCATATGATTTTTCAAAGGACATCTAATTTTATAGATATTTTTGTAAGTTGTCCTTTTACATATATATGATGGGTCGGATTTGGATTGATTTTAGTAGCTACTTTTAAAACAGTGCAACTCATGTTTGAGAATTTATCATTCGATAATTCTGGAAGTTCTATAAAAAAATAAAATAATATATATGTCCCTTAATGAAAATTTTTAATTTTTTATGAAAATTTTTTACTCGTAAATGATATTTAACTTATAAGTAATTTTGAAATGTAAGTTAATTTTTAACTTAAAAGTGAAATATTTACTTATAATTAAAATTTTAAATTATAAGTAAATTTTATGATTATAAGTTAATTTTGTACTTTTAAATAGTTTTTTTATACATAATTGAATATCTAAAAATTAACTTTTTCATATTTTACAAGTTAATTTTTGTCCTATTAGTAGTATTTTTACTTTATAAACAGTTTTTTAAACAAATGTAAACTTTTATCTTATAAGTAATGTTTTACATATAAATAAATATTTCAGCTAATATATTTTTATTTACAAGTTAGTTTTGAACAAAATACGTGGATTAAAAATATTATTTTATAGTGGGTAAAATTTAAAAAGAATATGAGAAACGACTAAAATTCCTCGATCTGGTGAAATGAAAACTATAGTAAAAAATATACCCCCATGCCAGGGAAATTACGAACCATTAGGGGCAGGGCACCGTGGGGATCAAATAGTAGTCACAGTACTCCAAAGTGTGATTTTGTCCAGAACTTAAACAGGAAGCAAGTTGATTGCTCTTTTTCACTGAAAGGGATACCCTTTTAGGATGAACTGCCAAGTTCAAAACTATATTTGCAGAAGATATACAGGGCACGTAGCCCAGTGTAAAACAGAGTGCCTAAATACACATGAAAATTTAAGAAATAGTTATCTGCCTCATGTTCTGTAGTCTATAGGGCTAGTAATTAAGGACTTCGTTTACAATATTTATATATCAACTAAACGAGACTCATAAAGCCATCGTGATCAATAAATCCACAAGTCTAACCTTCTTGGACAATGTTATCGTCATAATATAAGCTTAACACACTTATTATGAAGAAAAAGGAATAAAAAAACGATATGACTCTATTTATATTTCCACAAAGCACAGAACAACACTAGGAGAAGCCTTGAAAGTAGCGATGGGGCCTCGTGGTAGCAATGGTTATCCAAGAGAAAGATGCTCCACGTTCTGCGTCTTCCCAGATATTACCTGGATTGATTTCTTCTCTTCCTGATCATCAAATGAGTTAGACCTAAACTTAGAGCTCGCCTCTTCAGTATCAGAACATCCCGGTCTTTCAGTTAAAAATTGTTCCCAGAATACATCATTTGCTGGCGCTTGCTTCTCCTGATTACCCTCAAGTGGTGAAGACAAAATGGGATGATTATCAGAATGAGTTTTGATAGCTGGGTGATTATTAGAACTTGGTGGTTCTGTACCAATTTCCTGACCTGGGGGAGCCATCCTACCTGAGTTTTTACTTTTGTCGGGTTCCAAAGAAGAAGATGCTAGAGTAAGATTTAGTTGGCAGGAGATAAGACCTTCACCGTCATCATATGCATTCAAACATTGCTGCAAGGAATGAAGTTTTGGGCTTTCAGGTCCTGCTTTACACGATAAAGATGAATCTGATAGGTCTAACTCTTCAGGGACACATAAAACACCACCAGTCCTCGTGTGCACATCTTTGGACCATCCCTCCATCCTCCCTTCAGGACTTCCCCCATCTTCATTGGAGCTTTGAGTGCTCTGTGAAAGCAAGTTCATGTCCGAAACAGCAGGTGACAACTCCAGCCGGAGCTTATTGCAAAAGTCTTGGTGAAAAATGTTCCCAAGCTCAGGCATAGAGCAGCTGTGATTATCAACAAAAATACTTTCCTGAACGGTCTGGGGGGAGTCATCAAACTGAGGGAGTCGCCTCTTCTTATTATATGATGAAAAATCCATGGATTCAAGTTTCTGAGCAAAGCGTTCAACAAACTCAGGATTCTGAACTGCTTTGTCCAGGAAGGTCAGCAACTTCTCCTGCCGCAGCTCCATGCTGCCTATACGTTGTTTTAGGCTTTCCAACTGGACCTTTGCAGCAGACTGCAGTTGTTCAAATCTTAAGATGTCTCCGTCAAGAGTAGTCCTTTCAAGTGATAATTTCTCAATTTCTTCCTCAAATGCTGCTCTTTCTGGATCAACAGAACCCTGAGGTTGACTGTGGCTGTGTATAGGCTTTCTGCGATGTATATTCTTAAGAAGATGTTTTTTCCCTTTCACAAATTCTTCATTAGCAAATTCCCATTTTTCCGGATCAATTTTTCTAAATCCCTATAAATAAACATGGCTCGGTCAAGAGCGCAATTCAAGCATCTGAGAACTGAAGGCAAATTAGTTAACCCAACAAACAATTCATTCAGCCAACATCAGATTTCCTTAAGTTTCTTTCATTTTTTTGGGTCAACGCTCAACGATTTGATAACAAATGGTCCAAAAGGAGAGGCCTATAAAATGTCAATAGTTTACAGAACTATTTAAAGGCACACACAAGCATGCCCACAAAAATAAAGGGGGGAAGGTATGGGAACATGTTTACATCCAAAATAATCAGTGAAATTTATACCTTGAGAAAAGCAATGGAGGCAAAAAATACATACCATTTATTATATAATACAAGTATATGGCTCAGTGACCTTGCACATAAAAAGGTATGAAGCATATTAATTATGTCTCAGACTATTCGAACAAATGATCCCCAAAGTATGAAATCCACAAGACATGTTTCATTAGAAGTATAGGTATAATAATAGCCAGGTTTCTACATGCTCAATCTTCATCCCTTTTTTCTCTCTTACTTCACTAAGCAAGCCTAGATGGCAGCACTCTATATTGCCTACATACAGTAGAAACCAAGTAGGCACCATAGTAACACAACACAACCACCGCATATAATTATTACTATAATTATCTTATTCCCAAAAGCATCACATTGAGTTATCACATCTTGCTAAATAAATATAATTTACATGCGACTCCTTAATAGCTATTAGGAAACAACAAAGCCCCGTTCCCTATATACTTCGGGTGGCTATATGAATCCTTTTTTATTGCCCCACTTGGTCGATTGTGACATATATCGAAGGTCAAAAGCAACATCCTTAACCAACACGATAGACCGTGTAAGTTTTGGTCTATCCCTATATATGTTCTACTAAGATTTCATCACTTATATGAATGGAAGCAAGATGTTTCCCAGCCATCTAGGGAAAGGTACTTTCCTTTTGGGTTGGTTGCGGGCAAGGAGGGATTCAAACCCCCAACATCGTGGTTCATAGCCATGTGCTCTAACCCTCTGAGCTATAGGCCCTACCCCGTCTCCACTTGTAATATTTCCCTGAGAATTCCCCTAGATAGTAGATACACCCGGTTTGTTTTATCTACACATTTTTAGTAGATTTTGATGAAAGTTGATGAAACATGTAGTTGAAAATTTGATAAAAGTCGTGGGTACCATGAAATGTATAATTGAAAATGAGTTTGAATAAAAAAGAGTTATGGAAAAGGGGGGCCAAATAGGGGCTCAATGTTTACTTGCAAGGAACTAAAATTTGAATTGCACAAAAATGATTTGCAATTTGACATAAGTAAACAAAAAAAACAATTAGGGAATTAATAAGCCAATAAGCCATCTGGCTTTACCACAATTCCTTCACAGGAAAGATAAAGTTTAAATGTAAGAATAAGTGGTCAGAATTCAAGTAGCATTTAGGTGAAAGTTGTCTAACTTTCTATATTTCATCTTGTGGTCCAACACTCTTTCATAGCTTCTATAGTGTTTTGTCATGGATTCTTTTGAGCAAGAAATGATAGCCTATTTAGACTTTCATGTTCCATGGTGGGCAGGGGAAAAGGGAATAAGAGTTCAAGTATCATTGTTCGTTGTGTGTGAACTCTATCTTAAAGAGCTATATCATTTCTGAAGAAACTTCTTTAAGCATCCATCAGACTGCAACTAGTTGGGACAGATCACATCCAATTTATTGATTTGGTCCTGAAAATTCTTTCCTCTCATTGCCCCCACAGCATTGGAGCATTTGGATAGCCAAAAATCTAAATGTATCATGTGATGGCAGAACTTTAATTAGGCATAACTTTTGATCTGGAAGCATGTAAGTGGGCTCTTTCGAACTTAAAGACTGGTGAAAATCGGCCCTGCCCAATTGGAACTGACTTTCGAGGCTCTATTTAGCTTTTCCATGGCTCTATGGTTCTTTTTTCTTATTTGTAAGTATTTCCTCTGCTTTACTTGCAATTTCAACTTATGCATAGCTCATACGGTTATTGGATGAGGGAGGTAAGAATCGAAAAAATTTTCATGAGATTAGAGGAGAGAGATTGCAGAAAAGCCGAGAAGAGCAGGCTAGTAGAGGAGCTACTGGAGGAGGAGGAAAGAAAGCAGAGTGAAGAAATTGCAAGGTTGGTTAAGGAATGTAGGAAATTGCAAGACAAGAAGATGGAGGACAAAAAATAATGTGGAAAAGAGCCTCATCCAGATAAGGATAGAAATAGGAAAAAAAGAAGCTGAAAAGAAGCATCAGGAAAGAAGGAAAGAGAGAATGAAAGTAAGAGTTCGGGTATCAGGCAAAAGCAACTCTGTTGCAAGGAATCAGAAAAGAAATAATCTGCATCTCATAAACATATACAAAGAACAGGCTAACTTAGGCAAGTTAGATTATTCTGTCATTCCCTGTAAATCAAGGATCAACTTGACCATAATTATAGGAGACTACTAATTATAAATTTACAGTTGTAAAAAGACTTTCAAAGATTCAGAAGATCATACATTTCTCGAAACTCCCCTTAAGCGGGTGTATAGATATTATCCTTTTTTTTTAATAGGTAATCAAATATTTTATTAATCATAAATAATACACAGGAAGTGTGGGTGTATAGATATTATCCATTCCCAACTTGTTTGTGATTGCTCGAAATGAGAGATTGGCAGGTACCTTAGTTACAACTTCAAGTTGTCTATTTGTTGAAACATGAGTGCATGTCCCCACTACCCAACTTCTCTTTTATGAAATGTCTATAGACTTCCACATGCTTATTTTGATCATGTTAAATTGAAATGTGAGCAAGATTGATGTAGACTTGTTGTCAAGATAGTCTGCTGGGTCCTTGCAACTTAATTTTTAAGATCTTCAAGAATGATTTCAGCCACAATAATTCGCATATTCCATGTGTCATGGAGCTATTTTCATCTTCGACACATGATCTTGCCTCATTTACTTCATGCTTCCCTAAATCTTCAAGTTTCTTCTAAGCAATATAAAATAGCCTAAGGCTGATGTCTATCCACAGCAGTCCTGCCCAATTTGTATATGTAATGACATCTAAATCTAGCTCTATAGTCTTTCTAGACCATATTCCTTTTTCTGAGGGTAAACTTAAAATAGTGCAAGATTCTGCAAAGCGTTTGGAAATGTGTCTTTTTGGGATCTTGATTCACTACATGTTCAACATAGGCTATTATCAGGCTTTATGTGTGACAGATAAATCAGTTTGCCAACTAAAATCTGGTAACTCCCTCGATCCACTGTTGCATCCTTATCTGTTACACCCAGTTCATGATCAAGGTCTATATGTGTGTCGAGTGGCTTACATCTGAGCATTCCTCTCTTTTTGAGAAAATCAAGCACACATTTTTCTAGTGATAGAAAGATTCACTCTTTCAAAAGTGCTACTTCAATTCCTAAGAAGTACTTGAGTTTTCCAAGCTCCTTTATCTCAAATTCTTCAGCTGTTCATTTTTTAAAGTTAGCTTCTGTTTCTCTGGATCATTATTAATCACATTCCCAAGGGTTGGCATGATGAGATGTTGATTCCATCTTATGTTTTTTTGATAAATAACATTGGCCAAGCATCATGAAGTGAGACAGAAATTAAAAAATCTCAAATCATACAGCACATTTTAAATTCAGTAACTAACATATAAATCGAACTATAACAGCATAATTAAAGTTAGGAACTCCAAAGCGGCAAAGCCTTCTTTCTGTGAATTTAGCATATAAGTTAATAACTTACATAATATCAGCGATACTGCAACAACACTCAGCTAAAAATCTGAAATATGTGTGTTTTCGTCGTAATTCCTACACATGAATATATGAAAACAAACAAATAACTTGTGCAGGCATTCTTCTATCCGTATATGGAAAAACTATTATTTCATTAAACTGCACAAGGGTTAAATGTACTCATAAACATGTATTCCATAATTGTAAATCTATTCAGCAATCAGCACACAATTACAAAATTGTGCAAATCTCAGGTCAACCAAATATAATAAATTTAAGGCAATAAATTTAATGAATCCCTATTCAATAAAATTTTAACGAAACATAAAACCCGACCCAAATCAAACCATGTTTGTCGCATATAGAGCAATTAATTTCAATTCTAACGAAAAAATAAAAGTTTTATGCACATTACAGCCTACGCATCTATAAATACAGATATAGATACACGTACATAGGTGTTGAGCTGGCGGATGAAGCTGGAAAAGTTGTTGTGCTTGAAGTAGGAGGGAAGTAGGACGCGCGCGAATTCCGGTGGATTCCACACCACGAAACTCTTCATGCTCCCGCTCCATGATACGATGTCGTCTGTCATCGTGTCGTCAACCATCTCGTACGTCTTCAAGAGGAACGGCGCCGGTCCACCTCCACTTCCTCCGCCGCCTCCGCCCGTGGTGGTGGTCACTGGTGCTCCTCCGTCCATTCAGTATTCTACGATCGATCGAGAAAAACGTTGATTGTGGGGTCGTCGGGTCTGACTTATTTGTTGACGGGTTTTATGACAGGGGAGACGAGTTGTGTTGCAGGTATTAGTGAAAATATCATTACGGTCCCTATTTTTAACATTTTTATTATTTTGGTCCTCTATCTTTTCTTATTTAACTTTTCGGCTTTCAATTTTGGAACACTTAATGAAAAATCCATTACTACCAAAAAAAGTCAGTTTTATCCTCAAATATAAGTTTCATTAGCTAAAATCAGAATTTTAGTAAATTTTAATAAAAGTTAATGAATTGTGTAATTAAAAAGTTGATAAAGGTTGCAAGTTTCATAAAATATGTGATTGAAAATCAGTTTTAAAAAAAAAAAAAAGAATTTAAGAAAATGAGAGCCAACCAATGGTAATTATATGAATATGTGCCTGTTTGAGCCCCATTTTCCTAATAATACATTTTAAAATAGTAGATTAGTGGAGAATGCGTAATTAAAACATATAGAAAATTTTTTTATTTGCATATAATATTATTTTATTAAAAAAGTGGGGTTAAAAAGAATAGAAAAAATATATTTTTAAAATAATGAGAATCAAACATAGGCGATAAATAATTTTTAGTCACTACCATCCAACTCTGTGTGTGTGTGTGTGTTCAACCCTCTCCTTATAGGGGGTTGAGAGAAAGAGCATACTGAAGATTGTTAGTTTGGTGAAAATCTAATTCCAACCCCTTTTTTCTATCTTCAAATCTATTCTTTTTATTCAATCTATAATTTCTCCACACTGAATATAGTGGAGTGATTTCAAAATTCATTTTCTCTCAATTCTCATTGTTTTGTCATTTTACCCTCCCATTTCTTATTGATTTCTTATTTACCTCCTTCCCATTCTGTTTTCCTTTAATTTAATTACAATTTCAGCTCATTCAGCTGAGAGAATTCCATAGCTGATCCGTTGGAAACTTGAAGTTGCAAATTGAAATTCAGTTCGTGACAAAATATAATCAAAGTAACTACAATCCTTGGGCGTCTCTCAATTGAATAGCATAATGGAAAACTTTAATAGAAATGATGATGTAGATCAAATCTACAAACACGCGATGATAATAACTCAAACGGATTGAACTCAAGAAAATCAATGTTTATTCTTATTTCATGAACAATCAAAAATCTAGAAGGCATTTTCAGAGCCTTAAATATGAAAAGAACAAATAACTTACTGGGCCAACAGTCCCTTAATGGGCTGGGCTATAAAGCGAAAATAACAAATACTGAAAATAATAAATGAAGAAACTTTAAATGTTGTTTTGATCCAGTAAACAAATTCAAACGGTCAAAATCCATCATATATCACGGCAAAGCAATGAGTTCATCCAGAATCGCCGCGAACTTTTCGAAATGGGGTTATGGGCCCAAAATGGATATCGTATGCAAAAGTTATGCCTATTTCTTCGAACGTCAACCATCTAAGCATTCCATGTACTCAAATGTTTGGTTCTCCACAAGAACCTCATCAAATCATAAGCTAATATTTTCAATGCTGACTGAAATGATTGAGCAAATATCAGTCTCCAAGGGACTTCTGATGATGGAAGAGATGATTATCAACGATAAACACTCTGATTATCGGACGAATGGAAATCACTGGTGATTCAATCGTGCAAACTTGCCCTGTTGTTTGTTAGGAGAAAGTTTCATTGTTGAACAATGAAGTGTACATAAATACAAGTGCTCCACTTGATATTTCGGTGACTTCTCACGTTTCAGAATCTGAATTGAAGGTAAATGGGGAGAAGTTTGTTGAAAAGAATGTTCTCTGGATGCGACATCTGACACAGAGGTGATAGAAGCAATTGTCAATTAACTAAAATTGCTAGTAAAACTTCATATGGAAAAGAATGTGCAATACAGGAGACTGGTGACAAATTGAATTTGTCCGTGTACTTAGAGTTGATGAGAGTACGAGGGGGCAGAATTGAAAAAGACTCCAAAAATAATGATGGGTTAGGAATTTTGTTGGATGATCGTGAAAATGAGATTGTGGGAAAAGAAAATGTAGGTGCCAATATAAATGATGGAATGGTGGATGAGGATGAAGAGTGGTCACCGCCTAGGGTTGTGGAAGAGGAGATGACTATTGTGGTGGAAAGAGAGGAGAAAATATTGTCGAGATTGTGATAGAGATAGAAAAATTGGTGCTAGTGGCTGATTGAAGAGTGGAAGCAATAGTAGTGAGGGAAGAATCAGGGGCATCAGATTGTAAAACAAAGACAGAGACAGAGATTGAGCTTGAGATAGATGTGAGAGAGAAGTTTGAAAATGAGGAACTAGCAAAGGTTGAGCAAATGGAATTTCAAATGGTTGAAAACAATCCAAAGGTATCAATAGCTAATACTGTAAACTGCAAGAAGAAGGTTGAGGTTGAATTAAATGATTCAGAATTGAGGTTTGCGAAAAGTAACTATAGAGGAGAATTCGACCTCCAAAGCCAAAATGGAGTTTAGGATGACAAATAAAGCTAATTTCGGAGTCGCCAGAGCTTACACCAATGCGGTTGCAGGAAAAGTGGGATTAGATATGGTATTATCATTTGGGAGCAATGCTAGTGAAGTGGTGGAACTGTGTTTTTGATTTGAGATTGGGACAAAATGAAGGGCAAGATTTGGACAAGATTCTCTTCTTCCATCTAGCTTATTTGCCATTGACAACTCAGCTCTACATCATCGACCTCGTCAAAGGACTCGTCACTTTTACTAGAATATTCTCTCCAGAGGCTGCATTTCATGTTCAATCACTTGTCAGAGTATCAAAATCCTATGCTGGGAACTATGTGTCACTCGCTTACAATGTTCTAGGACCTGTAGGTGTCCACGACACTTTTTGCTGATGACACTGTAAACCTTTTTACGTATGTTGTCCTATGGTTGACCCCTCAAGTTCTATCTTCTGGAGTAAGTTTCTAGTCCTATCTATGTAAAGGAAGTATTGTATGTAATAGTTATGCTAGAGCTGTAATGGCAAATTCTTGTCCAAGTGTAGATCAATATTAGAATTCAGGCAATCCTTTTGATTTTGCGCTTCTGGGCAAAGCAATCTTAGATCTTATGATCCCTGGTCGAAAATCGCAATATCATGTTGCAAGGTCCTTGCAACTTAACAAATGGTCTAAGGGAAAGGATGGTTTTCTTGTTACTAATATTTGGGGTACAGAGTTTGGTAGTCCAATTCCAACCAGCTTAACGGTTTGGCTTAAGGATGAAAAGAGTAGTGCATGTAATGTCAACCAAGCATATCTACCTTGCACTATTTACTTAATCCAATGATGGTGAAGAGAATGAGGCAACTGCTAACTTCATACAAAAAAGATATCTCGACTTTGAACCTTGAGGACAAGGTTAATTTAAAGGGAAGGGATGTCATGATTCACTCTCTCAAATCAACCCACCATACCACTACTCAACCATAAAAAAAAATATTATTCTAGAATATTTTGCATCTTACTCTATAAATTGAGAACATCGAGAATGGAAAAAACATGTTGAAGACGGTTAGTTTACTGAAAACTGAGTCCACCCCCACCCCCACTCCCTTCTCATTTTTTTCTCTATCTCCAATTCCATTCTTCTTATTCAATTTGTAATTTCTCTACACTGAATATAGCAAAGTGATTTCAGAATTCTCAATTCTCTTTGTTCTTGTCATTTTACCCTCTCCTTTCTCATTGACATTTAACCCCTTCCCAATTCTATTTTCCTTTAATTTGGTTACAATTTCAGCTCAATCAGCTAAGAGAATTTCACAAGCCTGTTGGAAACTTGAGGTTGCAAATTGAAATTCAGTTCCTGACATGTACATACTTTATTTAAAAGTGATTTAACATACTTTAGATATTAATGGATGTTATCGAAGAATAAGAAACTAAAATCTTACTTATTACATTGTATCTAAATTTACTATTCAATATGCATATAAAGGGTTCGTTTTTACAAAGCTTTTATAAGAAATTAATAGATTTTAATAAAATAATAATAATGAAATGTATAATTAAAAAGTCGATAAAAATAGTGGATCACGTGAAATATGTGGTTAAACATAATAATTAATTTTAACAATTAATTTTAACCTCAGCATTTTAGCAACCTTTTAAGCTATCCCAAACAAGTTGATAAAAATATACACTAAGTGCGTATTGTAATCATAATTAAAAAGTTGATAAAAATATACACTAAGTGCATATTGTAAATATAATTAAAAAGTTGAATAAAATATACACTAAGGCGTTGTTTGATACTCCATATTTTCCATGGAAAATGGAAAATTTTCCACCATTTTCCAAGTTTCTGCCTGTTTGATAGGTAATTTTTTCCTGGCATTTGGTTTTCTCACTTTTCCTCACATGACCCTCTATTCCATGAAAAGGAGGAATTCCAATTCCCATGGTTGAGCTGGTTTTTCATTTTCTAGGCAATTGAAAGTAAAAGAAAGCCAGTTAAACACACCAAACCCTTCCCTTTCTCATTCTTCTCACACTACTCTCCCATCCCATTTCTCACGCAAAACCACCCCACTATTGAAATACCGGCAATATCAACCTAAAAAATCTCCCCATAATCCATACCAACAGTGCACGCTATTTGATTCTGATCTCGTCTCTCTGTCTCTCTTTGTTTTTCCCTCCGAAATCTCGAATTTGATATGTACTACATAAACTTAATATTTGCAAGTAGTGATACCTTTTTTTTCCTTCGGGAGTTGAAGGGTTGGGTAAATGCTTTCTCTTTCCTTTCTATTTCATATTTCATATGCTCTACTCCTATTTTATATTTTCTTCTTCAGTTCGTAGATTCTTGCGAATCTTTGTGATTAGTTTCTAAATTAGGATATGTAATTCGCTTCTATGTTAGATTTTGGGTGTTTTAGTCATGCTTTTTGGAATGGCAGTGTATTGAAGAACCTGTTATACACTTATCTTGTTAATTTTATTTTAAACCTACTATCAACCCTTTCATTGGGTAACTTTTTGGAATTTCATTTTTTTCTCGTTATGTCTTTTTCCTTTTACTT